GATCTCAATGAGATGGATTGACACAGTGGCTGTAACAATGGGCTCAAGCATAGCAATGATTGTGAGGATGGCGAAGGACAGGGCAGTGTTTCGTTCTGTTTTATGTAGGGTCACTATGAGTTGGAACCGACTCAATGGCACCTAACAACAACAACAATAATATAAAAGGAGTTTAAAATGAATTTTTGATATGCTCAGGATACTCATTTGTTGTTGATAGGAGGGATCACTAAGGCATAGTCAGGATGACTCATTCACTTCACATCACCTTACTTTATGATTTTGTTTCATTTTGTGTACCTCATAACATGTACTTCTGAGCATGTGTTTTAGCACATATTTGTATGATCATTAATAGCTCTACATGACACTTCTCTTCCTCTTCAACTATACTTCTTTGAACACTTTCTTAATCATTCTACTTATTGTTACCAATGACCTCTACTTTGAAATGCAATGAGAGAAGATTCTTCTTTGATACAATCGTTCCAGCTTCCACACCAATTTTAGAGTTTGAATGTATCCCAGGGACTTACAATCCAGACGATGTGCTACTGTTGACCCATTTCCATTTATTTTCCATATTATCATATGCTAATCCAATCCAGTAAGTATTGTGATAAGCCTGGGATTGAATGAAAACCTATAAAGGAAACAAAACATATAATTTGACTCAAATCCCATCAGTTAGATGAATGAAGAGAAGGATTGGACAAGGGACCAGCTATTTCTATGGCCAGTATTCTGCTCCTCTCCACATCATCCTTCATCACTCCTTCCTAGAAAAACATCTCTCCTCTCACTCTTTATATATGCATTATACACAGTAGTTTTGCCCTCTGTAGATTAGTTATGTTAAAAACGGCCGTCAGTCTCATAGATTATTTAAAACATGGAGAAATGTAAAATCTAAATTCTAGCAATAGAGGGTTTGTTAAATAATTTATGACACTGTATCCAACCAGGAAGAATTATGTGTCAGAAGAATATTTAAGGATGTAGAAAAATGATCATCACGTATTCTTAAGAGAAAGAAGGAATTGTCAAAATAAATTTCTTAAAATGCAAAGTATGCGTGCGTGCACATGTGTGTGCATACACTCGAGCGCACAATAGAGTCTTCAGCTTCATAAGAAAAAGTCTTTCTGTGTTTCGGTAGTTTGGAGGGGTGAAGGGAAAGGAGGAAGTATTTGGAAGTATTTAGTATGTCCCAAAATGTAATACGTCAAAAGTGACATGTAATGACCGATAAAACCACTGAAGGTATTTTAAAATGTAGGTTTTAATTTGCGTTTTAGTGCAACAAACATAAAATTATTTCATAACCTGATATATAAATTCTTTTGTGTTATGATTTAAAACATGTAGTAGTTTTGCATATAAATTTTTATTGTGTTTCTAAATTATAAACGGAGGTTTCAGGCTGATCTTTGCAAACATTTGTCTGTAAAGACACATTGTGTGTGTGGATAGTTTGCATTAGTAAGAAATAAAAAAGATAATTTCAATATTATTGTTACTATATTTTCTCTTTTTTAAATTCCTTTTGAAAAATGTAAACATCTTAATATATAAGAATACTGATCAAGTAAATGTACCTCACAGATGCAAGAAAAAAACCACGAGGCTAATTTGTACAACTTTTATCCCTTTTATGTTCCTCATTATTACATTTTGCATCTGGGGCAACTGAAGCCCAGAAAGGCTAAGTCATTTACCCAAAGGTTACTCAGCTAGTACGGAGCAGAGCTGGATTTGCTCTCAGGCAGTCTGGTTCCTGAGTTACTAACAGTAACTACAAGAAGCTCCTGCCCCCAAGTTCTTAGGTGCCAACTGAGAGGGATAAATAAATAAATAATTCCAGGGTACAAATTACTGAAGGGTTAAGCACTTCATGGAGAGAAAAGCATACCTCTCTGTGAGTGGTTCTCCTGAAGACTCCTTAGAAAGGGAGGTAAACCAAACCAAACGCACTGATGTCAAATCCATTCTGACTCATCGTGACCCTATAGGACAGAGTAGAACTGCCCCATAGGATTTCCAAGGAGCAGCTGGTGGATTCGAACTGCCAATCTTTTGGTTAGCAGTCGAGCTCTTAAGCACTGTGCCACCAGGGCTCCAAAAAGAGAGGTAGGTGATTGCGAAGACTTAAACTACATCTTAAAAGAGGTTTCCATTAGGGGAATTATAATGATCATCATCAGAGATATTGATTGCTGGATGAGTAAGTAGAAGAATCATATGCCTATTAGCAGGCAGGGTGCCTGGGAGACTTAACTATAAAATTTTTGCTCCCACAACAAATACAACACAAAGCCCAGCTAGAGGTCTGTATCTGGATTCTCCTCTAACCTCCGTATCTTGAGTCCAAGGGTGAGAGATAGAGTCTAAGAGATTAAAAGTGAGTATAAGAGTCCATGATACCAGTTCATCTTTATCATCTATCTTCAGAAGGGATGATCCGTAATTTTGGCAAATCTGCTGGCAGTCCTTCCAGGTTTTATGTTCAGTGGTAAAATAATAACAGGTTACTCCACAGCAGGTCCATTTTTCTTCATAGAGTTTGCCTACAACATATTAAGTGAATAATTAAACTTCTTGTAACCTGGTATTCTGTTAATCAGAACAATATATTGATCAGTCCTCCACAGCTAAAGAAAATCTTAGGAGCTATTGATAATAACAAAGAGGCTTATTAAGATTCTGGAATGCCTTCTAAATAAAAGAAACATTATTTTTTGGAATTGTTTTCTTTTCCTCTTATATATTTTATAATACACAAACTTTTAAAAATATTATTGATCTTTTAATAACAGAGACAGTACATTTTTACTAACCACCATAGTTAAATGGGAAACCCTGGTGGCATAGTGGTTAAGAGTTCGGCTGCTAACCAAAAGGTCGGCAGCTGGAATCTACCAGGCGCTCCTTGGAAACCCTTTGGGGCAGTTCTATTCTGTCCTATAGGGTCACTATGAGTAGGAATCGACTTGATGGCTACGGGTTTGGGTTTTTTTGGTATACACTTAAATGAAATTAAGTATTCAATTTCTAAATACGTAAACTCTAAATCCTAAACAAATATTCAATAGTTGTTAATTAACCAAATCATTTCATTCCATCATTATGAAAGATACAGAATTTGCTTTCTAAGATTTACTATTTCCATCCCTTGGGTATTTTAATTATATCATCACATAGAGTTGCACAAACATAAACACTATGGCAAATTCTGCAGAGGTACTACCGGGAGAATATACTTGTCACAAGTAGACCAGATATCTGAACTCAAGGAAAAATGGAAACACACACACACACACACACACAATTATCTTTACAATTAATCCAAATAAAAGGCCCTGGTGCCCATTTTAGCCCAAGTAAATCTTTACTGATAGCTTCCATATTTCATGTTAGCAACACAATGGGAGTCTCTAATTTGCCATAGATCCAAAATGATCCAAATTTTCAGGGGAGCTGACATACTATTTCAACCCTTCTGGGAGCAGAAGGAATGTAAGAACTGCCACTGAGTTTTAGAAAAGATAAGGTTCTACTAGGTCATACGTGGCTTCTGGGTTCTCAATCCCATGTTTGAAAGAAGCAAACTCTAACATCCATGTTATATCTAAATTAAAGTTGTCCAGCAGACCAAACATCACTAACATATACCATAAGCCTGTTTACCAGGTTTCAAAGGTTCTGAAGTGGGAGGAAGTAATGCAAACTCACACAACCTTTCATTCAAAATTTCCTCCATACCCATGTTTTGCAAAGATTCTGAAGAGATCTCATTTTTTCTATGACATTCGCTCTTTTTTATAAAGGATGAATCCAGTTCCTTTTTCTGCTCCTTTAAGTAGCTGTCATTTTGCATAATGTGGTGATTTTGACTCAGGTTTCGTAGCATGTCCTCCTGGTGATGTTTTTCTTGAATATACTGGAAAACTAATAACATATATGTAACGAAAAGTAATTGTAATGTTGAAATACTGAAATTTAAGATACAAGAGAAAAAGTCTTACTTGGGCATCCAACACATTTCATTACTTTAGTTAGTAATTTGACATTTAGAACGTAACACCTCGATTAATTGACCATAAGAATGGAAACATCAGATTTCTCAGAATTAGCAATTTAAGTGTATGATAGATAAAATAAGATAGCTGAATCAAACTGTGATGGTAATACCTTATCTTCCAGTTTTGTCTGTTTTTAACAGTTAGCACATCATTTACAAATAGGTATCAAAGTAAAAATCAGTCAGTCAACATTTAGCAACACATATGAGCATGAGAATCTAAATTAAGAAACTTGAAGTGATATCATAATTATTACTGGAACAGAGAGAATATCTACAAGAGAAAAGAAAGTGAAATGGTCTACATATATAATTTTGTGAGTTATTAGCGATTTTCTTTAAAGATGTCAAAGATATCATATAAAAGATGAAGTTTGAATTCACGATCATCTAACATTCCTCTATAGAAAAGCCAGAAAAAAACAAACAAAAAAAAAAACAGTTGCTGTCAAGTTGATTCCAACTCACGACACGTTGTGTGTCAGAGTAGAACTGTGCTCCATAGGGTTTTCAATGGCTGATTTTTCTGAAGTAAATCGCCAGGCCTTTCTTCCCAGGCACCTGTGGGTGGACTCAAACCAATAACCTTTTGGTAAGCAGCCAATCTTGTTCACTGTTTGCACCACCCAGGGATTCCTTCCTGTATAGAATCATTCTTTTTATAAACCGCTTTCTCATTATATATTTAGAGAAATTCAAGAGACAGTCATAATTTCTTTTGAATGGACGTTTCTCAAAGATTTACAAATCCTGAACTCAGAAAACAGTATATGACTAAGTCCTGCGTCAGAAAGAATATTACAAAATGAGACAGCTCATCACAGCTGCAGAGTTAATGGAATACATAACTAAAATGACAATGACACTGTGATGTGACTGGGGAAAGCCACCAACAAAGCCAAGGGCCACCGGAGACATTCCCTGATTGTAGTCAGGGAACAATTGATGCAGAATAGTTAACCAAAAAAAAATCCATTGCCATCGAGTCTATTCAACTCATAGTGAGCCTATAGGACAGAGTAGAACTGCCCCATAGGGCTTCCAAGGAGCGGCTGATGGATTCGAATTGCTGCCCTTTTGGTTAGCACTTAACCACTGCACCCACATTTATTAGTTACCGCCGTGACTCAGACCGGAAGGACATATTTCAATTACTCACTCTTTGTTCCCAACACGGCGACTGTCATCAACAGAAGCAAACAGAAGACCCCCAGAGTTATTGCAATGAGACGCCAGGGCGCTGAAAACTCTTTCAACAAAAAGGGAAGAAAATAACCATCAGAGAAAGAGCCTGGCTCACTACTAACCTTACCCTGGGAAACCACGGGAACCAAAGAGAGAGTTTTATCTAAAAAAATCTTTTCACAGAAATACTATATCATACTAGTTGATTTAAATTTGTAATCTGGGACCTATAAAGTTTCACATTTCTGGCAGATAAGCCCCCACTGCAGAAATCCTACATACAAGAACAGTTCTATGGAATTTTGAAAGTATATTCCTTACAAATACACATATGGTTAATAGTCACAATACACATTGATGAGAATTCATACTAACGTGTCCTTCCTCCTGTGGTCACAACTAAGCATGAAGAGAAAGGAAAAAGATGTCAATGTTCTTTAGACATAGGTAGCAATGGTGAGGCTCTAACTTGAAACTGGAAATGTAATCGAAATCCAGCTCAAGGAGTTTCTAGACATCAGCTTTCCCTTTTTTAATCAATTAAATTTTCCTTTAGGCAATACTATTTTTATCCTACTACTTTTGAGATCTTCAGTGTCTGAAAGTTGTATGTCTGATTATCACTAAATTAGAACAATAAAAGTTATTCTCAAGTTAGACTTAATATTCTTAAATTTGAAGGTAGAGTGATAGAATTTTTGCTGCTTCATTGCCACTAAGATTTTGGTAAATATTTAAGGTACTTAAAATATCCTTTCCTTGGGATTAAAAAAAGAAAAAAGAAAAACATTGTTTTTAACACATATTTTCCATTTCTTAAACATTCCTTTTTATTTCTCTAGAAAGCACAGTGTTTTCTTAAGATTCTAGCCTGTCCTTCACTTTTTTATAATTTTTTTTCACATTTTTAAACAACTTAATTGAAATATAATTGACATACAATAAACTGGATATTTTTAAAATGTACAATTTGATACTCACACAGCTCATTAACGATGTCTTTTTTTTTAGTGTGTATATATATATAATTGTTGTTGAGAATATACACAGCAGAACATACACCAATTCAGCAACTTCTTCCAGTGACATTGATTACATGCTTCAAGTTGTACAACCATTCTCACCCTCCTTTTTTGAATTGTTCCTCTGCCATTAACATAAACTCACTGTCCCCTAAGTTTCCTATCTAATCTTTGGAGTTGCTGTTGTCAATTTGATTTCATATACATAGATCTTAAAAGAGCACAAAGCTCAAGGCAGACATCCCTTACTAGTTAAGCTCAACTATTATTTGGTTTAAAGCAAACTTCAGGAGATATTTTTGGTTTAAGGTTTAAAGATTATCTCAGGGCAATAGTTTAAGGGGTTCAGCCAGCCTCCATGGCTCCAGAGACTCTGGATCTGTGAGAATTTGAAATCCTGTTCTGCAATTTATTTTTGATCAGGATTATTCTATAGAATCTTTGATTAAAATGTTCAGTAATGGTAGCCAAGCACCATCCAGTTCTTTTGGTCTCATAGCAAAGGAGGTCATGAGACCAGAAGAGGCAATTAGCCACACATTCCTTTCTTCCTCCTATTCCTGACTCTCCTTCCTCTGTTGCTCTAGGTGAATAGAGACCAATTTTTGTACCTTTTGATGGATGCTTGTAAGCTTTAAAGCTTGCAATGAATTACACAATGAACTAGGCACTACGCAATGAACTCAGAGATAGAATGGAAGCACTAAGCATAATATTAGCCAATTAACTGAGATGTCCTATGAAACCATGACTCTAAACTTCCAAACCAAAAAACCAAAGTCTGTGAGGTATCAGGTTGTATATAAGCAGTCTCAGTAGCTGCTCTTTTTGTTGTTATTGTTGTAAATATATCTATCACACAACTTTGGCCCATTCATCTTCTTATAGGTGTACAACTTACTGACAGCAATTAAAATAATTGGCTGTGCAACCCTACCCTTAATCAATGTGATTTTTCCATCACTGTAAACCGAAACTCAGTGCTCCATAACATCCTTCACTTTGAAAGGCCTCACAAATTTTTCTAGCCATATTAGAATGAAAGTATTCTATTAGCTTCTCGAATTTGAAAGAATTCATTAATTTTCCACTCTCATAACTTTTAAAAAGAAGACTTCTATTCTACTACTATACCCCATTATGGCTTCATTTAACCAGCTGAGAACTTGATGTACAGATAGGATATTTTTTTTCAAACGCCAGAAGTTGGACAATCCATAAGAGACAAGGTGACTCTAGATCTTTGGAACATTCACCTTTGTCATCAGTTTCCCTGGGCCTTTAGTACCACCAGGCCTTAATCTACGCTGTGACTCCGAAGGAGACTGAAGAAATCCCGGAGTTGAATAAATCACTTCCTGATTACTCATGTCTAAGGTAAGAAAAGAAAGATGTTTTCTACTAAAACCTTGCAACAGGATGAATTCTAAGAAAAATTAAAATGTCAGCCTATAAGAACATACCAGGATTTGAAGCTGAGAGGAATAGGTATGTGTGTGTGTTTATTAACTTCTTAAAGTACCTAAAAAATACAAACTGGGCCTGACTTACATAGGAAACAGAAAATCTTATGACATGTCCTTGGAAGTCATTTATACTCTTAATGTTCGTTGCCATCGTTACTCTAAAATATGGAAAGCATTAAAAAACCTACCAATAGATTATCGTCCTGTTCACCAACCAGTTTTATTAATAATGTTCATCATGCATGTACAAATCTTAGGTAAAATTGCTATCATCCCAAATCACTGAAACACTTTTAAAGTTATCGATTCTAAAAGCAAAAACAAATCCTACATTCAGAAATAATATAAATCTCTTGGCTTAAACAAAAACCTACATTAGAAAGAGCCTTATTTCTTTGCTTAATATACATGTTCTGATATATATATTTATGAATATAAACAAAGCCCTTAGGTTCTTTTTAATTACTACACGACTCTACTGGAGTATTTTTCAGAGTGATCTGAGTGCATCTCAGAGTGCATCTCAGAAACCACCTATACACGAATTATATGAGGGGATTGGCTAACATCCCAGATTCTAGTGCCCACACAAGATGGCTAAATAAGAATCTATTAGGTTGGAGCCCAGACATTTGTATTTTTAATCCCAAATAATTCCTTGTACATTAAAATTTTAGAAATAGTCTTCTAGTGTATGATGTTGCCAGAGAAGCATATGTGAAAATAAAATGTGTCAATAGGCAGTCATTGGTTAATATCCATAAGGAACTCAATCTATTAATGGATATCAATACAGAAAGAAATTAATAGTAAATATTTAAAATTTACCTTGCTTCTGACATTAATTGGTATTAAAAGATGATCTCTGAGAAAGAGGAAATAGGGAAAAACAAATTGTACATGTAACTGCATTTTTCTAAAAATGTTTTTAATTTGCCAAAGTTTATTTATTCACATTTACCCTAATGTCCTAAGAGAAAAGGGAGTCTTTTCTATTACAGAATTCTTCAAGATGCGTAAGATAATAATGTAAATCATTAGACCCAAATAAAAAGTAATCTCCCAAACCATCTTCTTTAGTTTCATATCACAAAGCAAAGATCACAGCACGTTGAGAAAGGGAAAACATCTATCCATGAATGCTGAACTACAGACACTCTTCACATTCTTCAGAGTTGGTGAAGTTCTAAAGCTATCAGTAGAGAATGTTTTCCTATCAATTCCCTACTCAAGCTGAGTCATCTGTAGTAAAATGCTACATTCCTGCCTTCCCTGCAATTGTTCCTTCTAAACAAAAACCACACCCCTTGCCACGAAGTCGATTCCAACCCAAAGCGACCCTATCGGACAGAGTAGAACTGCCCCATAGGGTTTCCAAGGAGGGCTGGTGGATTTGAACTGCTGATCTTTTGGTTAGTAGCCCTAGCTCTTCACCACTGCGCTACCAGGGCTTCAATTGAATAATCAGGTACAGAGATCTCAGGGAATAAAAGCAGATGTTACCTTTTCCTGTGCCATGCAACGAGGCAGGTGGAGAAAGCGGACCCCAAAATAAGGTGGGAGAAGCTGGCCTGTCCAGTCCTAGAGCCTTTGGGTAGGTGGAAGGATTGTATGACTAAAGGCAGAAATGAATTGTCTCAAACAGATACTCCAACTGAAATTGTTCTGCCCCTCCCTTTGACCAAAGTGGTTTAAGAGGAAATTGTATGATCAAAGCTGATGTTGACTGGAAGGGAAAAATGATGGTGAGTTACATCTTCCTCCATTTCAACTAAGCAACCACTGGGTACACTTTGCAAAACATCGTACAAAATCAATATTTAAGGACTGAAAGATGAAGGAACACAGCTTTTGAAAAAAATGAGAACTAACATCTTCAACAAAAAAGCTAACATACTTAAAAGAAATTACTAGTAAAATAAATTATTTAAGTATATATGTACGAATATATATATACTTATATACAAAAAATGCCGTAACTAAATTCTTCAACCCTTAAATAATAGCCTGTTAGAGATTCTCACTTGTGTTACTATTTGAAAAAAGATCTTTCCTTTTTTCAATAGTGTTTACTATAGGTAAATGTATTATAGAAACTACTTCAAAATATCCATTATTTCACTATAAAAATTTTGATGTATATCCTTCCAGCTTTTTATCTGTATATTATGTATACTATCAAAGTTGATATCATTCCAGGCATAATGTTTTTGATATATTACTTTCTAATAAACAAGCATTTCCTCATTTTTAAAAATATTAGGCTACAACATGAATTGAAAAACCACAAATGGTTATTACTCTATATGAATATACTATAATTTATTTAGGCAATCCCCTACTGTTGCATATTTAGATGGTTTCCCATTTTGTATTAGTATAAAAAAGAAATACTTGGCCTGTACTTTTGAGTATCCTCTTAGGAAAAATTTCTAGAAATCTAATTATGGGGTCAAAGTACAGTTACATTTAAAGAATTTTGATACATATTTCCAGATGTCCTCCAGAAAAGTTGTTCCTGATTATACGCCACGAGTTGTGTGAAAATGTTCACCTTTAATTTTGTAATCATCCCTCTACTTGAGTTTTGCCACAAACCTTATTTAAAGGTCTTCCTCTACAATCTTCCAGCCAGGCCTCACATCTCCACACATGTTGAAGATTAAAAGAAATGCATTTCCATAACTGTTATAAGGAGCCAGACCCTGCTGGAATATACCCAAATCTCTCATGAAGTTCTCTTTCATATGACTCAGGCCTTTTCAATCTTCTTAAGTACAGTTCTAGGAAACCAATTTAAATTGTCCTTCAAACGCAGGTGATAGTGGTTAAGAAGGGGTGTGAGGGATGGGGAGTGAGGCAGGGAACAAAAGGGGAAACTGTTGCAGATGCAGAGACACATGACCACCCCTATTTCACCATGGGGAGTGAGGCAAGCAACAAAAGGGGAAACTGTTGCAGATGCAGAGACACATGACCACCCCTATTTCACCAGGCTCTGACCACATTCCTTATTTGTCCTTTTCTTCCCTTGTCAACCACTAAACCAACCAAACCAAAGCATTGCCATTGAGTCGATTCCAACTCACAGCGACCCTCTAGGACAGAGTAGAACTGCCCCATAGAGTGTCCAAGGAGCACCTGGTCGATTCGAACTGCCAACCTTTTGGTTAGCAGCCATAGAGCTTAACCACTACACCACCAGTTTCCTACCAACCACTAGCCACCACGAAACCATTAGGCTTCAAAAGCCTCCCCATTCTCCAGTTTGCCCTTGCCTTCCACCTCTCCTCCAAATACTTTATGGTCTACGGCGTGTTCCAACCACTGGCACCCATTCTAGGTCAGGCTGCCTGTTGTTTGGCCCTCCACAGGACTGATGTCTCCCAATGCAATCCCTAATCTCTGAATTGCCACTGAGGTCTGCCCTTGTCACCATGTACAGGTTGTTGGTGTGTGCCACTGAGTCGATTCCAACTCATAGCAACCCTATGAGACAGAGTAGAACTGCCTGAAAGGGCTTCCAAGGAGCAGCTGGTGGATTTGAACCACAAATCTTTTGGTTAGCCATCTGAGCTCTTAACCAGTGTGCCACCAGGGCTCCCATGTGCAGGTAGTCAGTTGTAAAATCTCCCAGAGACCAATTTAACTCAATAATACGAGCAAAGTTGCGTGGGTAGAGTCTGGACACTGCAGGAGTACTTGTTCCTGGGCCTTTTCTCCTCTTTCCCCTAATCCTGGATTGGCTTTGTCAAACCCAAACCAGAGAAAGGCGGCTCCTAGGCCTCTATCCTAATGCGTCCCGCCCCCCTCCCCCCCCCAAAAAAATTAAGGAGAAACAAAAGTTGTGCTGAGAGATTGAGCGTCAGGGTGTGAATGGTAGGATTGTCAAAAAGATGGCAGAGAGATGCTATCATTTATTGGAGCATTTACTGTGTATATAACCATGTGGCACTCTCCCAAGCCTAACAAGCATTTATGACCACCTGCATTTTACAAATGAAGAAATGAATGTCAACAGGGTAACTGACTTGCCTAAGGTCACATTAAAAGGAGGCCTCGTGGCACAGTCGTTAAGTGCTTGGCTGCCAATCAAAAGGTCAGCAGTTAGAACCCACCAGCTGCTCTGCAGATGCGGCAGTCTGCTTCCCTAAGAATTACAGCCTTGGACACCACACGGGGCAGTTCTACTCTGTCCTATAGGGTAGCTGAGTCAGAATCGACTTGACAACAGGGAGGGTCATATTATTGCTAATTCTTGACTCATGTTTAAAATCAGGCCTGACTCAATTCACAGAGCATGCATATTGGATTCAGAAGGGCCTAGATTTTCAACAAAGCTCTTGCCACAAGCCCTACCTTTAGGCAAGACCCTTCACCTCCCTAAGCCTTGGATTCACCACAGTAAAATGCTGATGATACCATTTGCCTTCCAACGTTGTTGAGGATTAGATCAGGGATATAAAACACCTGGCTAGAACGTGACATGTGTAATACCCGTTGCCGTCAAGTGGATTCTGACTCATAGCGGATTCGAACTGTCGACCTTTGGTTAGAAGCCGGGCTCTTAACCACTGCGCCACCACGGCTCCATGTATAATAAGCTCTCATTAAATTTGAAATATTATTTGGTGTCCAAGATTCAAAACCTTCCTAGCTGTAAAAATTTGAACAGGTCATTCTGAATCTTCAAGCCTATTTCCTCATGTGTTCAGAGTATCACTCACTTCATAGGTTTGTGAGAATTAAATGCGATTAGCACTATAGACAAGATTTCTTAGACTCTAAAATCAGTAAATGTTCATTTTTCCTCCCGAGGTTCTATAAACAGTTGGTGGAAGAGTTAAGACTGCAATCCAGAAATCCCGACACTGAGATGGCTTCTCTATCCAGCCGTATCAGGCTTGGTGTGTGGGCACCGGGGAGAGCAGCGGCATCCAGCTACCTCCACAACTATTCTTTGGCCTCAGACCTGTGTATTTACATCTTACTGCCCCATGAGGTGCTGGTGATGCTGAGTCCTTTTTATTTATATCCTACAGTTGGTGAGAGGGTGGACAGTCCTCATGATGGAGGACAGACAAGGGCAGATCACAGTTCTTTATTCATTCACATACTGTCTCTTCAGTCATAATATAAATGTCATAAGGGTGAGTACCACATCTTGTTCAGTTTTATAACTGTAGCACATACAAGAGATATGATGTCTCCATGTACACTCGATAAACAAAAGGAATTAACTTAAAAAATCTAGGTTTTTCAGTTTTAGAGAGGCAGCGTAGGACTAATGATTGGGAAGTCAAATTGTGCAGCTACCTCCTCTGAGCCCTACTATCTATTACTAAACTGAATTAGATTGACAGTAACTTCAGAAGAGACTCATTGAAACTGATCAAAGCACTAAACATCATGTATCACAACCACTGTTGAAAAAACAAGAAAATGAACAATTAAAAAAAATCGTTTCCCAGATTCACTTTTGTGCAAAACACATACACAAAATATGAACATATAAAGCATCTATTTACTTATTTCCTGGCTGCTTTGCTGCAAAAGCCTTTTCTTATTTGGGAAACCACACATTCACCCATTCCTTCCTGATCGATACTCTATTAGCTAGAAGCTTACCACACAGCTTCTAGTCACAGTTTAAACCTCCAGGTCACACCTTCAAACCTCAATGGCTGATCATTTCACAGCAGCATGCTGTTCTTCCTGCCCAAAGCTGAAGAGAAGGACGTCTAGATAACCATCAGCTCACAGGGAAAGATGGGTCTGAATTACGCTCTTGGAGATGAAACCTCACCTAGCCAGGTTCCCACTTACATGCTTATTTGTCCTAATGCCTAATCTTTAGGCCACTGAGCAATACTAAATTTCCTGGTTCTTCTAGTGAAAACTAAAAAGACCAATGACTCTTGAGGTTTCCTGTTCCCCTAACCACCCCATTTGTCCTTCTTGTCCTTACTATAAAAGCTATGCTAATACTCCAGACTTACAATCCTCTGTATTGTCCCAACTGGGCCTCCAGCAGGCAACCAAACAGTAACCATCCTTCCTCTAATGTCTAAGTAACCAAATGAGAGGGCCATCTCAGAAACTAAGCATAATAAAATAATGGGCGAAAAAAGAGAGTATTTCAGATGGCTATTTGGGCTCTGTGCCTCAAAGCTATTCACAGGTTGGAAGGGAAAACAGTTCTGTTAAATACTGATCCATTATTAAGAATTTTGATTCTTAAATCAGTGCTCTCTCCACTCTATCACATGAGTTCAGAGAAATGGAGCAAGGTAGAGGCTAGATATTTTGAGCAATGGTTCTCAAACTTTATTGTTTACCATTTGGGAAATCTGCTCAGGCCGACCCTGAGTTCACCCTCAAATCATTCATTTATTTGTGGCACTCTGGCTACATATTTCTACCTGAATAAACATTTGTCACAGGATGTACATACTAAAACAATGTCTTAGTATTTCTAAAATGAACCAGAAATATAGCCTCTTGAAATAAATACTCTTCAACCAGGCTTTGGTATCTTTTATTGGAACAAAACTTCAATGACAAGCAGCTTTTATTTACAGAATTTAGTGTGTGAAGGACTGGCCAACCCACTTGAACTGCAGTGAGGATACCAGGAAGCCTTTTTCTGTATTTTCCTAGTTCAGTCTGTATACAAAACAAAATTTGCTTCACATTCATAAAAATCCCAACGTGTAAATGAAAAATAAACCCACCCTTACCCATCCCTTAATTAAATATACAAACAGCTCAAAAACATACATTTAGATTGGTTTAATCTTGAAGTGTAATCCAATAAGACTGAAAACTAAACATTTCAGGTCCTGTACCAAATAATAAAACACTCGCAGGCCTTCAGGATCCCTAAAATGTAAAAAAGTATAAAAGTTACCTTTTTTGCTCCTAGAACAAACAACATAATTTTCTAACTTAGTGCCGAAAACAAAACTAAACTAAAACCCTGAAACAATTAAGTTAAAGGAATTCAAGAGAATTTGCTGACTGACTACTAAAATAAACATATTAAGCAATTAACAGCTCTATCCTTTCTGTAAGGGAGAAAATTTTTATATTTTTTATTTTTTAAGGAAAAAAATATATAAATTTTCTCCATTGCTATTCCAGTTCATATTTACTTCCTTCTAAAAGAAATACCTATGCATCATTTAAAAAATGTATAAAGCAGATTAAATTGTAAAGATAAAAAAAATCAGTACTCATAATTCTATAATGCCACTGGCCCTCGAGGAATCACCATAAATATTTTGGTGTGTTTCTCTTTTTTTTTCCCATAATTGAAATCATTCCCTTTGCACCTTTTACGTTTTTCCATGGCATTAAAAATAATTCACTAATTAATTAACAATTCTCTCTTTGTTAGACATTTGGATATTTTTTCAGTTGTAAACAACGCTTCAATGAACATCTTCGTGCATAATAAAATTTTTCCAATATTTGAGATTATGGGCCTAGGACAGATTCCCAGAAATAAAATTATCAGGTCGAAAATAAATGAAAACTGCTAAACGGTTTTTGATGCATATTACCAAATTGCCTTCCCAAAACTTTGTACAATTTACACTCCCACCAGCAGGGTATGAATGCCACATCCTCCCTACTGTGGGAAAGTAAATGAATAAAAAAGAATTGATGGTTTAAAAGCATTTGGTTGGTCTTTATGAACATGGCCTTTTGTGTCCAATAGCTATTATGCGTTCATTCCATTCTCCTAATCTCTAACAAATATTCATAAAACACCTATTATGTGTCAGACGCAATGCTAATTTTGGAGCTACAGCAAGATTCTCATGGAGTGTATACTAAAAACAGTAAGGCAGACAAATAATTAAGTTATTACAATTTGGTATAACAGAACACTTAACACATAGAACACTTAACTGTGCTGATGAGGCACATGTACATAGACCAAGAGGCAGTTGTTCGAACAGAACAAGGGGACACTGCTGGTTTAAAATCAGGAAAGGTGTGTGTCAGGGTTATTCTTTCAACATACTTATTCAATCCGTATGCTGAGCAAATAATCTGAGACCCTGGACTATATGAAGAACGGGGCATCAGGATTGGAGGAAGACTCATTAACAAACTAGGTTATGCAGACAACACAACCTTGCTTGTTGAAAGTGAAAAGGACTTGAAGCACTTACTGATGAAGATCAAAGACCACAGCCTTCAGTATGGATTACACCTCAACATAAAGAAAACAAAAATCCTCACAACTGGACCAATAAGCAACATCATGATAAACGGAAAAAAGACTGTAGTTGTCAAGGATTTCATTTTACTTGGATCCACGGTCAACACCCATGGAAGCAGCAGTCAAGATACCAAACGATGCATTGCATTGGGCAAATGTGCTGCAAAAGAAGTCTTTAAAGTGTTGAAAAACAAAGATGTCACTTTGAGGACTAAGGTGCGCCTGACCCAAGCCATGGTATTTGCAATCACCTCATATGCATGTGAAAGCTGGACAAGGAATAAGGAAAACCAAAGAATTGATGCCTTTGAATTATGGTGTTGGAGAAGAATATTGAATATACCATGGACTGCCAGAAGAATGAACAAATCTGTCTTGGAAGAAGTATAGCCAGAATGCTCCTTAAAAGTGAGGATGGCAAGACTTCATCTCACATACTTCGGACATGTTATCAGGAAGGACCAGTCCCTAGAGAAGGATATCCTGCTTGGTAAAGCAGAAGGTCAGCGATAAAGAGGAAGACCCTCAACGAGATGGACTGACACAGTGGCTGCAACAAACGGCTCAAACATAACAACGATTGTGAGGATGGTGCAGGACCAGGCAGTGTCTCCTTCTGTTGTACAGAGGGTCGCTAAGAGGCAGAACGGACTTGACAGCACCTAACAACAACAGAAGTATGATAGGAAAAAGACAGAGCACTATGGGGACTCTTACTTGATGAGGTGAGGAAGTGGGAAGAAATAGCTAGAGGCAGAAAGACGGTATTTTAGACAAAGTTACTGAATGGTCTGTGCTGCAACGGCTCAGAGGAGAAAGAACTTGGGAAGACACAGGCAGCCAAAGGCACATTTCAGCTACACTGAACATCTTCTGTTTCTTTCAAGTATTGAACACAAGGAGGAGTGGTATGATGTGGGGCTAACAAGGCAGACATAATTCAACAAGGATTTCTTTTCTTTAAATTTCATGACACTGTATCCAGACTTTTATGCATAATAGCTAATAAAATGTTACTGTTATGATACATAGTTATTGAATTAAAACTTTTTTTAGCAATCAGTGAAATACTCTGCTAACTTTTTTGGCAGACCAAATGTCAAGTCTTTACCAACATATCAATCAGTTATAGCTACATAACTGATTGGATGTCACTGAAATAATCTTAGGAAACAAACTGGCTATCGTTCCAAAACTAGTCTTTCTAATAAATTACGTTAATTTAGCAGAAATGCTCAACATACTTACTTTGACTGATTTACATCAATAAGAGAACCAATTTTTGATGTGGTAAAAGAAATGTGTTCATCTCCAATGACAATTTCAAGCTCCTGAAAAAAACAAAATAGACCCAGAAATGCAGTTAATAGAAAACTCCACCTCAGAGAGATCTGCATCCTGGCTGAAAAGAGGTCCTAATTTTGGCTGCAAGTGTTCTAGCAGTCATTGCGGAAAATAAGAAATTTGATCCGTTATACATGAGACTATGTCCGTAAAACAAAAACCTAACTGACTACTCAGGAGCGCTACTCCCAACTGTAGGACAGAGAACTGCCTCCCAGAGTCCTCATAAAGTGGATACTACATAATGAAATGAATAACATACTGAAGAATGGCATAGAAATATTTCTTAAAATGTCGGTAAACACTAAAGGCATCACTTTGAAGCACAACATAATAAAACCAAAGAATAGTTAGGTGGATATGAACCTATCATTAAAATAATAAATAGAACCATATTTTCACTTCTACCAGGCTGTATAAATAACTTCCTAATAATAACTACCACTTTACTACCTACTATGTGCCAGACTTTATTGGTAGGGACTTTACAAACCTTCTCTATAATCTCTAAGACACATCTGTAATCTCTAAAATAAGGTAGGCTTTATAAACCTCATTTTAAAAATGTGAAGTCCAAGACTTCACATAAAATATATAATCCCTGAATGATGATGCTGACATTTGAACGCGTAAACTCTTGACTCCTGACTTCACAAAACAATTAAAATTAAGAACCAGGAACAAATAAAACACAACGCAGATGTTCCTAGTGTGTACTAATTACTGGAGGTTTTTTTTCCTATATTGTTTATCTGCAAACTTGAAACCATCAATTAAAAGGCTATGTCTGTAATGAGTTTTCCAGTTATATTGACAAATAGATGCCATTAAAGACAGTCTAAATTATACACAGCAGAACAAATTATGCACAGTTTGTAATACACACCAAATGGAGAACAAATTAAGGCTGTCAAACGGTGACTTAACGATCCTGGAGCATGCTCAGTCCTCCCCACTAACCAAAATGCCTAAACACCTCAACAGTAGATGACGCGCTGGGCTCCCCGAGTCTAAAAGACAGGAAAGGTCTGCTGCTGTCGTTTCTGTTTTTAGTCCTTATAAGCATAAAACAATCTGAAGTCTAAATTTACTTTTTAAAAATGCTTACAATGTATAAAATAAATACATTAACTATTACCTTGGCTTTCCTAAATACTGTTTCTTTAAAGAGAAGAGTTAAGTTACTGCTACAGAGTGTCAGCATCTGTTAGGTTTCTCCACAGTTTCTTCTAGTCAAAGAAGGTGACATAAGGTATAATCCTCAAGAACAGACAAAAGTGAAATTAAAGATTTCTTCCTTCCAGGGGTCGTATCTCATTTCTCCAAGAGTTGAAAAGACCCAATTCAGAAAGCAAACTGTCTTTCTACAGAGTGAAATTAGGCCTTCAGAGTTCTTCAGAAGCCCTTTGAGAAACATCAATTATTCTGAAGGGAATACGAGAGGCAAAGAACAAAGAAACCAATCAAATTCTTCTCTGGGACATAAGAATGCAAATAAGAATTCTAAAAGTTATAAATTTGGAGAAAGTGATCTTCATATAGTCAATTAAAATTATAAGTCTTGAACTGACATATAACACTTGTAGTTAGTCCTAATAAAAGTGGTTAACACACAATAGAAATTATTTATGGCTGTGAAAATATCCTAACTTTGGCTCGGGGACTATCATGAAATTATCCACAAAGATGTCTAAATTTAGAGCTACGCATTGACTTCTTTACTACTAGGACGTAGCAGGGAAAATGAAGCTAAATGAAATAAAATTCAAAAATATTTATCAGGTGACTACTAATGTAAAATCAAGAGTCGGTGATGACTCACTCGAAATAAAGAAGGTGAAACCTCACAATTAGGTTACCAATTTTTCATATGTATGCATTTAAAGAGTTATTAAACACAAACCTGCCGGCCAACCCTGTCAGGGGGAGGCCACAGAGCATCATCTTCCTTTGTGATTTCACTGTCGTCGATAATCCTCCTGAGTTCCTCCATCACACTCTTGTGTACATAAGCCTGAAAATAAGTTATAATAAAAATGTCATGCTTGCCTTTTTCTTCCAACAACTCAGAAAGAAATGATAAATAGGAGTTACAAACCGTGAATAATTCAAATACAACATTATAGAAAAACTTAATTCTGATTCCAAACATATAGAATGGGCGAGAATTATTCATTCTTCTTATATTATTTCTCTTCACTCTCTACCCTTTCCTGTAATATATTTTTCCCTTTTCTCATCACTAAACCAAAACCAAATCAAACGCGTTGCCGACCAGTGGATTCCGACTCATAGCAAACCTATAGGACAGAGTAGAACTGCCCACAGGGTTTCCAAGGAGCGGCTGGTGGATTCGAACTGCCGACCTTTTGGTCAGCAGCCGAGCTCTTAACCACCGGGCCAGAGGGGCTCCAATCACTAGCCCCTTTTAATACACTATATTCCATCTTTAAACCATCTTTAAAACTTGGGAACTCAGATATCTCAGAGTGGTAAACGGTGACAATGCAAAGTCTGTGAGGTAAAGAGACAAATATCAAGCGCACATCAGTTAGTGATAGGAACGTTTTTATACCTAATTTCGAGTCCTTAATTTAAAATGTATACTATTTTTAAATCATGTTCATTAGTTAGTTTTAAGTAGTAAATAAAAAGACGAAATTAATTATAAAATAAATTAGATATATTTAAATGTGGGACTACAACTTAATATATTCAGACAATTTTTGTTGTTACAAATGCTACAATTACATTTAATTTAAACTAAATCACTTTTCAATCTATAAATTGGCTTCTTCTTTACGAACAGCCTTAGATGTACTTCCGTAAACTCAAACATGGGGAAAATGGGCTAAATGTAAAAAAACCTACCTCTTTTCTGATCATGACATCATTTTTGTAATTGCTGTTGTTGGCATATCTAAGCTTTCCTGTGGGGAGTGGAGAAAAATTCAATCTATAACAGCAAAAACTGCTAAAAAATAAATAAATGACACTGTGAGCAATTTTTGCATTAATTATATTAACAATTCCTCCCTCCTAGTGGAAGATCACGGCAACCCCATATGTGTCAGAGTAGAACTGTACCCCATAGGATTTTCAATGGCTGGAAATAGATCGCTAGGCCTTTCTTCCAAGGCACTACTGGGCGAACCCAAACCACCAGTCTTTTGGTTAGCAGCCCAGCGCTGTCACCATGAGTAAGAATCAACTTGAAGGCAACTGCTAACTAGCGGCAGAAGATCAACGTTAGAGAGATATTCAAAAGCTGTTTGTTGTGAAGTTGGTAGCAGCTGAGGCTAATCAAATTTTTTAGTACTCCATGCCTACACTATATAATGGGAGAGTCAGTTTTAAGGCCCATTTTTTTAAGCTATGGCATGAACTAGGAAAGAAATCTAAAAAAGGAATTAATATTTCTTTTTAAGTTTATGTTATACGTCTGTATCGGTGCTCAGTGTTTTACCTAAAGTGTCTATTCTAATTGTAAAACAACCCTAAGAAGAAGATTTTATTATCCCTATTCATCAGTGAGAAAACAGTTGAGTAACTTGCCTAGGATCACACAAGATCCATATCTAGGTCGACTTTCTTCCAGTACTCATGCGTTTTCCACTGCTCCAAAACGTTTTCTTCTAATTATTTTCCTTCAAATTATGGTACATGATTACAGCAATACTAATATTTTAGTAGTTTGAGTAGTAAGCATACAAACTATGTTCTGGATAAAAGTTGGCCAGTTTGTTTGCTGATTTATATTTAATTTTAAACCAGCATGACTTTTGTATTCTCTGACACATCGTTCTCCTCACGGCCAGTCAGCTGTCCAACTACGGATGTAATGTGGTCCTGATCCTCCAAAATAATAGGGTACCCTAGTGCAACCGGTTTGGGTTTTGTTTTTTTGGTTAGTGCTGTGTACCCGTTAGAAATTGTCTGTGTGACTCACTATTATTGATGGAAGTATGTGGAATAGTGTGATGGTGGATAAAGGGATGAGAACCACTGTTCTGGCATAAAATTTTCCGGATTTATCGGGGTACTTAATTTACGTGACTGGCTAAAAGTGATATGGACAAGCTGGATGATGTTCACAAGCGAAGGGAATGAAAATAGCATCACATAAGAAAAGCACAGATGAAGAATTCAGGTATATTTAGCTCCTTAACCATATTTAGAAGAACATGGGGAGGACAAGGGTAAATAAGGTGATTTAGGTTTTAAATAACTGCAAGGCTGCAGATACCTTGCTTTCCACCTGAAATACCTGATACTCTTCTTTCCCCTTTCCTGGTATGTGATCCTCCCTCTAATCTTTTCTTTCATGCTCTCAAAGAACTTTGTCCAAAGCAGAGCCACACTGCTTTATGGTTAATTTCATGTTTGTCTCTCACTCCACCATAACCCTTTGAGGGATACTGAAGAGTCTTACTCATTACTTAACCCTTTATTTTGTATTTACCATTTTCCCAGCATGTAATATGCGTTCAAAAAAGAAAATCTATTCAGTTGAACCGTCCTTGTTGCAGGTGGATAGAGTTCAATATACAATAATGCTCCCTCTAGAGTCAGAGCTGTCAAAAGATAGAATCTGCTACATACTTCGTGGGCAGCAGGCAGTTCCGCCTTGCCCTCCGCTCTGGCTGCTCTCCCAGTCTGGCTGCCTTTTTTCCTCAGAGCACTTGAAATACCTAGTCCTACTTCAAGATTCAGTTCCAGCGTCGCCTCCTCTAGGAAGTTTTCCCTGACTCTCTCGCACAGAATTAACCACTCCGCCTTTTGTACTCTTAATGCATCCTGCGGCAGACAACTGTATTTAAGCGCCCAAAACACATCATTACACTTATCAGTTTACACGTCGGGCTAACCCCTTCAGCACTGGACTCATTCGTCCTTCTAGACCTGCTGCCTTACACACACTGCCGGAATGAACAAAATGAATCAATGGGCAGTCCGAAAGTTATCGGCACCCGAAGATCTTCAGCATCACTGGTCCACCGCTTGGTGGGGATGTTGTTAGAAGTGTTCAAGTATTAGATCGTTAAAGCAGATGGCTTAAGATGCCTTCCGGTGCACTGTTTTTGAGGATGCCGATTTCCCTAGGTTTTCAGCTCCTATTTGTTTCGGCTCCAGCACAACGCTTTCAGGCCTCCCGAGGCTCTCGTGCCCACGCCACCTCCTTCAGCCCCCGGCCTCTCCGCCTCACCGCCCTCATCCCCTCGCCCCGCCAGCACCTCCTCCTCTGCTCACCGTCGGGTCGGAACTCGAACTCCAGGAACTCGTGCCCAAACTTGCCCTTGTGCCCTACGTAGTAGCGCAGGTAGAAATCGCTGGCCATAGCCATTTTCGTGCCAGGTAAGACCGCCAAAGGCCTGGCCACCGTGCCGCCCGGCGCCTGACAGTGACATCAGCCGCCCAGGATAAGCGCGTCACTGTGGGCGGGCACGATTCTTCCGCTCCCGCTTCCGGCTCCCCGAGGAAAGCGAGAGGGGACGGTATCGGTGACGTGAACTTTGCTTTCTGTGGATCAGAAGCCTATTAAAGTAAAAATTAAGTGATTCCAGTATATTAGAGGACAGAAGTGTAGAAAATATACCAGCATTCTTGTGGGGGCTTAGAACTAAGATTTACAAATCGGTTTTAATTTTCGTATATCAAATTCTCATGGCGGAGTTCATGGCTGGTGCCTGCAAACATTACCGCCAAAAGTTGGGAGGCTGCAGTCCACCCAGAGGCGCCTCGGAAGAAAAGCCTGGCTACCTACTGCTTTAAAAATCAACCATTGAAAACCCTAGCGGGCACAGTTTAGCCGGACACACATGGGGTTTCATGAATCAGAATATACTCCAGGGAAACTGGTAAATCTTAGCGGCAAACCTGTGAGGTGGGCGTGGCTTCTTTCCCCCCGTTTTGTTTGTGAGGTGAATGAAGATAAAGCCCAGAACCCAGTGGGAGACCCGGAATGCATCCGTTTTCCTGCCTGATGGCTAACACGGAGCGTTCCTCTTTGAACAATGATTGCTGGTATCAGACAGCTAGAAGACTGTAATAATAGACACAAAATAGAAGAAATCCATCAGAGGAGAGATCTGAAATTTTGAAAGGCACATTGAAACCAAGACTTCTTGATACTCGTGGTATAGAATAAGTTATTTTTAATATGAAAAACTAATAATGTGCTTCATTCATTCTTTTAAGGATTAACCTGTAGTGGCCTGCAGAGTTGTGGCATTAAGATCAATTAATGATTTAGCCCACGTTTCTCACCAGATAAGATTAAACCGGGGAAAGTGAACAAACACTCCAGTGTGAGGTGGCTTTGATGAGGAAAGATAGAGTGAAAGTTTTTACACAGTCTGTTTTTCGAATATTATTGATCACTCTTCTGTTACCAACAGAGTAATTCTGTATGTTAAATGATCCCATAAACTTCGCCAGGATTTAGTAGAAAAGGTAGCACTCAGAAAACCTGAGACTTAATTCTAATACTATCACTACTTAACCTTGTCAAGTCACTATCTCTAAGCCTGTTTATCAACGGAATGGATATACTAACAATCAACTTTGCCAAGCTCACAGAATTGTTAAGAGAATCAAATAAGATAATGTATGTAAAATAGGTTTTGAAATGTATAGAAAACATAATGTATGTGCTATGTGCCAGAAGGAAACCCTGCTGGCATAATGGTTAAGAGTTCGGCTGCTAACCAAAAGGTCGGCAGTTCAAATCCACGAGCTGCTCCTTGGAAACCCTATGGGGGCAGTTCTACTGAGTCCTATAGGGTCACTATGAGTCGGAATCAACTTGATGGCAGTGGGTTTTTTGTTTGTTTTGTGTGCCAGAAACGGTGGACACAGGAAGTAAAAAGCCTTTTGCATTTAGAGTCTAGAAAAGAAAACAAACATGTAGACAAATATTAGCGCAAGAGAGCAAATGCTATAATGAGGAAAGTGTAAAAAATGTTGGTCCTACAGGAGAGGAAGCAAGTCATTCTAGTGGGGAATAGGGGAAGTTGAAGAAATGGGGAACATCAGGGAAGACTTGTGAAAAAGAGGTGCTATTTGAAATGGACCTTGGCAAATGCTTAGTGGGATGGAAAAGCATTCCAGGCACAAAATGCCCTCAGCAAAGTTGGTGGTGTGAAAATGCATGTTTTGGGAAAACAAGCACATAGCTAGAATGTAGGATTCATGGAAGTGAACGACTAGAAAGGCAGACTAGGCCAGGTTATGTTGGGCCTTATAAAGAAGGCATTATTACGTAACTGTTAATATAGGCAAATCACTCAGTCCTTACAATACGCCACCATGATGGAAAATACATAAGAAACATAAAGCACCATCCCTCACCACGAGGGTGACTACCGCTCCAGTTTGCCCAGGACTCTGAAGGGCTTCTTGGGTTGTGGGACTTTCACTTTTAAAACTTAGAATGTCCTAGGCAAACTGGGAGGATTTGGTCCCATACTTACAACAAAAACACACACAAAAATGTGACAGAAATATCCCATTGTGGTTGTTAGCTCCCATCAGGTTGGCATCACCACGCACAAAGGAACAAGTCACGCTGCCCAGTCCTGTGCCATTCCACAATCAGGTGCAGATCGGACCTTTGTGATCCATAGAGTTCTCATTGGCTGCTTTTCAGAAGTAGATCACCAGGCCTTTCTTGCTAGTCCATCTTAGTCTGGAAGCTTTGCTGAAAACTGTTCAGCATCATAACAACACACAATCGTCTACAGACAGACAGGTGGTGGCTACATGTGAGGTGCATTAGCCAGTAATCGAACCTGGGTCTCCCACATGGAGGAGGAGAGTTCTATTACCACACCACCAGTACCCTCTAAATAGTCCTTAGTGTCTCTGAAAATATAGGCTGTGATCCATTTGGTTTGTTTTTTTGGTGAAGTATGAAAATATATTTACTTAACTCTTCATATTTTAAGTCCAAAAAAAAATGCCAAAAGATTTATCACTTGAATCATGATAAGAATTGCAAAGCGATAAAGTATTTGTGTGTTAGGGTCTTCTGGGATGTCAGACAGCAGTGATGTGGACATGTTGTATGTGGCTAGTAAGCACTGAAATGTGGGTAGGGACTGAGGAGCTAGCTGAATTTTTATTTTTAAATATTATTTAATATTTAAATAGACACACGTGGCTAGTTGCTACTGTGTTGAACAACACGGTTATGAAGACCCTTTTCGTAGATTTTTACTTGGGCTGGAAATAGTGAAAATATTTTGTGAACGTTTCTCAATCTGTGTTGCCATAGGCTTCAAATTAGGGCACGCTTACTAATATCACCACAGTTTACTTATGAAAATAAATGTCTGGGCTGCTTACACGAAGCCAAATAAAGCCTTTTCTTTGGAGTACTATGTCCGCATTTGCAGATACAACCTGTCTGTGTTCAACTTCAAAATACCCTTGTGGACATAGGTAAGAAGTAACCATTTTATTCCTAGCTTCATCTGAAATTGAGGCTCAATGATGCAAGCAGATGCACAATATTCATTGACAAAATAATGATTTTCCACTAAAGTGTTTAAAAGTTTATTGCTTTCAGCTTCCTGGTGATGAATCAAGTCAGGAGCTACAGTCAGAGATGGTTCTTATCATTGTTAATATTTAAAATGTTCTGCCGAGTTTTCCTTCATCTAAAATTCCCTCTTCCTTTGACCTCTCTTCATGTCCCCTTTATCCTCTGACCTTTTTACCTCTATTTGAAATTATCAAGAAGGAGCCCTGGTGGCATAGTGAGTGGTTAAAGTGATCAACTGCTAAATCATTCCTACTTCCAATCTTCAGAAACATCTTCTAACTTTCTTGTGATAAACACTAGAAATGATAGCCTTCTGTTTTAATTTGTTTATCAATAATTTTTGTGTAGTTTTGATTTTGTACTTACAGAACAAAAGTCGTCTCATTCAGTTAAAGGACCAGAGTAGTAAGCCAAGAATATTTTATGGTCTAAAGCAGTATTCCAAGGTGGTTTATTGTATTTTATTTTATTTTCAATGGCAAAATAGCATGATCTATTTCAGTCTTTATCCATCTACTTACCTTTCTCTTCTCTTTTCTGTAATAGACTGCCCTGTGGAATTTTAACCATAACATTTTTTCACCACTCAGTGGTATTTCTTTTTTAATAAGAGAACTTCCAAAATTTCCACACCATTGTTTCTCATCTAAGTTCATGCATGGTGAGAACTTGGAGCTATTTATAGGTTATCATGACATGATAATATATTTAATTTCATTGTTCAGATTAGGAATTTTTTCCCATATGACACATAGATAATACTTCTAACAGTACATAAATACCAACTTTTATGTCCAAAACAAAAACAGTCTGTTAATTTAAGCATAATAGGCTATCTCCCCAATTTGCCATTGTATTTGCTACTTGTTTGTTTGTTAAAATGAGTTATGATAAAGCAAAAATGTAAGAAAAATTATTACAGCAAAGTTACAATTAAGCAAATTCTGTCCATTAACTTACTTTTTCTTTTAAATGATAAAAAAAATTCATTATAATTCAATTTTAACAACAAAATACCTAAATCTAGCTGGAAAATGACTAGTACTCTGCATGAGCCTAATTGAGAACTACTGGTTCAAATGATTCCAAGTTAAATGACGTTGTCAAGTTCCTATTATGACACTGTATCCAGGTGGTATTGGAAATTTCTTATCAGTAAAGCATTTTTGTTGTTGTTAGTTGGATTCTAAGGGGGTAATCAAAGCAATAAAAGAAATACCTAATTTGGATGCCAGAATTAGAACTCCAGAAATAGACTCTCCCTTTTGGAAAAAGCCTGGCCAACTGAGGGAAAACTCAGTTTTCTTAGAATAAGCAATTGCTGTATCCAGTTTTCCAGACCTATACCCAGAAAAACAAACAAAACTAGGGATAAGTTTGTAAAATAACAAGTGTCTGGTACTTTCCTTCTTACCAAAATAAATATGAACGTACAGTATGAAAGAGCAGTGCTCCATTTTACCGTGTGCCACTTGCCCCCTAACTCAACTTACCTCCTTGCAGTTCCTCAAACTAACTGTGCTTTTTCCTGCCCTAAAGTCTGAAAGTCTGTAACACATTGAGCCCTTCTCCTGAAAGGCTCTTCTCCTCTTCTCCTGTCCTTATCTGGCTTCTTTACCCATCCCTAAGGTTTCAGTTTACATGCCATTTCTTCAGGGAGGTCCCCATTTCATACTCCCTTCTCCTATCCTTTTTCTTCAGCGCACTTACCACAACTGGTAATTAACAAATACCCATACAAGTAAATATATAATGTATCTCTAACCTTCTATACTATAGTCAAAAGTGCTTTGTTTCTTGTACCCAGCACCCAGCACAGTGTCCGGCATAGTGGGCCCTACCCCTCCACTTTTTATAAGAATATTTGAATAAATAAATGCTGTGTACATTTGACTTAAATGAACTGCTGAGAGGCAACCATGAGATTCCACAAGACTGTATCATTGTGTGTTATGCCACTCCCCTTTTTCCTTCTGCCACTTGCCACCCTTTTAAATCATTGTCACATTCAGTCATTGTGGTATTCCCACAGCTGCCAGTGTCAGTATTCAGTCAGCTGACTCGTCATGACTCCAGCAGGATTCCAACTTCTACAAAATTAGCCACCTTAGATGGCACTCCCAGGGTACCTAGAGTATTCTTTAAAGTGACAGATAACCACGTTCAGCTGGATTGCCATCACTACAATATTTTCAACATTTTGAAGGAGTAGGAGACTACTATCACTATCCAGAAGCTCACACAAAAAGGATGACATCATTTTATTCATGTGGTATTTGTACCATACCGTTATTTTCAGGCATGTCTTGCCTTGCAGTGTAGCTGACAGACTGAGGTTCTCAGACCCAGTAGATTTTAAATGAAAAATATATGAAAGATTCAGGGACTGGAAGGGAAAAAGAAAGAAACTTGTATTTATTGAGTACATACATGCCAGATTCTGTATAAATACTCACAACAACCCCATAAGGTAAGTATTATCTCCATTTTACACATGCAGAATCTTTTCTGACAATGGCGATTGTCTGGAATTCTTCTATTGGCATTAACTTCTATTAATTTACTCTTATCATCTCTATTGTAGAGATTAAGGCAGCCGTATGCCAGAAAAGTCTATAGTCACTCAATAAATATTAGTTTAATAAAATAAGTTTCACAGCACATACATGGATGACTCAAAATTAGAAGATACAACCCTTCCTTCTCAGACTACATCCTTTTCTAGCCATTATGAAAGTACCTTCTGTCTTAGTCATCTATTGCTGCTGTAACAGAAATACCACAAGTGGATGGCTTTAACAAAGAGAAATTTACTCTCTCATAGTCCAATAGGCTAGAAGTCTGAATTCAGGGTGCAGGCTCCAGGGGAAGGTCCTCTCTCTCTGTCGGCTCGGGAGGAAGGTCCTTGTGATACATCAGTCTTCCCTTAGTCTGGGAGCATCTCAGCGCAGGAACCTCAGGTCCAAAGGATGCGCTCTGCTCCCGGCACTGCTTTCTTGGTGGTATGAGGTTCCCATGTGTCTCTGCTTGCTTTTCTCTTTTATATCTTAAAAGAGATTGGCTTAAGACACTAATCTTGTAAATCTCATCAATATAAGTGCCACTAATCCATCTTACTACATCATAGTGATAGGATTTACAGCACACTGGAAAATCACATCAGATAACAAGATGGTAGACAATCACACAATACTAAGAATCATGACCCAGCCAAGTGGACATATTTTGGGGGGACACAAATCCATGACACCTTCTGAGATACTAAGCTTTCTTGCTTAGCTTCCATGTTTCCCATTTATTAAACAGAGCATTTTCATTACTGACTAGACTTTGACTTTCTAGGCTCAGTCTCCTTAGTCTTATAGGGACTAGGAAGCTGTCCTGATGAACAATATATATCCAATGTTCTTATTCACAAATCGACTCCTCCAGCCTCTAGTTAGAAGTAGTACCAACAGCGTTCATCTGTCTCAGATAAAAAGAGATTACTTTTACCTATACTCAAGGGAAAACTCAGGAGTTTTCTTTCATAGTTCTCCAGTCTTACATTATGAGACCAGGACTGAAGAATTTTATGTCCTTCCTTCATTGTCTCTTGGAAGGATGGCCTTGGTCCATACCTATACTCCTAAGCAGACAGAACTTCTAATTTTCTTTCTCTTCAACTCCCTATTGACTTCCAATTCTGGCATTTGATTCTAATTTCTTTAGACTTTATAATAGTCTAGATAAAAGCATGTTTCAGGAGGACATTAGTCTAGGGTGGGAGAAAACCAGCTTATTTGTATCATGCCCCAACAAACATTGCAGATTTCCACAACCTCCTTTATTACCACTTCTACTTTGGGTCTTTAAGACAATCTTGAAGACTGGGACAGCAAAAATGAAATGCAAAGTATTTCTCAGCCTCAAGGGTATGATGTGTAGAGCCTGAGCCAACACCATTTCAGGTTTGTAGGGGAAGACCCAAGATGCATGTCCCATCTCTCCCTTCACGTCCCACTAGAAAGTCCATTCTCAGTTCTTGGGGGAATTGGTTCCAAGAGTATATGATCACACATAAACGTTTCTTGCCTGGGGGTCCTCAGAGGGTAGTGTGGCCGTGGGGAGGCTCTCCACACTGATGCCAGCCACAGCTGCGTACAGTTCAGGCACCACTAACTCTGGTACTTGCAACACAGCCTTGTCACTTGCAGTTCGAGCAGCAGCTTCTAGACGCGAGCGTAGCTTTCTAGGTGAAGGACGGCTGTCCTCACTCCAGTGCCAGCAGGACTTCATAAGATTATACCTGAAAGGGAAACCAGGGAAACTGACTTCCTTGACAAGGGAAATGTATGAGCAACATGTCTCCTCTCCCAACAAACCTGAACAAAAAAAAGCCTACAATTCCAATTCTTTCATCTACTTCTGTTTGCCCTCTCATATTCTAATAATTCTAATTCTCATCTTCTTAATATGAAATCTTTTAATATAATTTTATTAACACCCAAACCCGAAAACCCATTGCTGTCAAGTCAACTCATAGCGACCATATAGGACAGAGTAGAACTGCCCCATAGGGCTTAAGGCTGTAATCTTTATGGAAGCTGACTGCCGCATCTTTCTCCCGAGGAGCAGCTGGCGGGTTTGAACCACCGACCTTTCAGTTAGCAGCCGAGCACTTTAACCACTGCACCACCAGGGCTCCTTATCAAAAGGCCTTCTAATAGGAATGATTCAAAATTTTTCAAACTACAACGAGTATGACACAACAGCTTTTTCACTCTACAGTCAGTCACTCTCAGAAGTTAAGCGTTCTTTTCTTTAGCTGTTACTAAATTGCAGAATTCCAGATCACTGCTAGAACTTTCCAATTAGTAAAAGCTACATTGTAGCCAGGACAATAAGAAATCATGGAATAATGTAATTCATACCAATTTCAGGTAATGTAATCATATGCTTCCTTCTATGGAGCTAGGTCATTTCCCTCCTTTATAATTTAGCTTAAAATCTCACTTCTCCAGGAAATCATCTTAATCAAGATAAAAGTACTTAACACCTTTTATCCGTCTTTTCTACAGTCCATTCTACAGAGAATTTATAATGCAGTTTAGTTTCAAACACTTTATCATGTCCCACCCCTGCTCAAAAACTACAGTGGTTTCCTACTGCTTACCATATGAAGTCCTTATCCTACCCCATAGCTTCTCTACCTCATTTTAAAAAAAAAGATTTACTGTCAATTCTAACTCATGGTGACCCATGTGTATAAAAGTAGGACTGTGCTCTATAGCATTGTTTTATACGGCTAATTTTTTCAAAAGTAGATCACCAGGCCTTTCTTCCAAGGCACCTCTGGGTGGACTCAAACCTCCAACTGTTTGGTTAGCAGCCAAGTATATTAACTGTTTGCACCACGCAGGGACTTCCTGAACCCCATGTTGTTGTTAGCTGTCCTCAAGTCAATTCCAACTCATGGTAACCCAATGGGTTATAGAGTAGAACTGATCCATAGGGTTTTCTTGGCTGTAATCTTAATGGAAGTAGATCACCAGGACTTTCTTCTGCAGTACTGCTGGCTGGGCTCAAACCACCAATCTTTAGATTAGCAGTTGGGTGCAAATGGCATAGACCCTGCCTAACTGAACCTCTTTCCTCTAACAAGTCAGTGTCTTGCTATGTCCTAGATGTGGTTGGAACAGGCTGCATAAGCTCAATTACCACCATTGCTGAATAATTGATTCGCACCATTACTAGCCCCCACTTTTCCTCATGATATTTTTTTCTTCTTTCTCCCTCCTCCTATTGCAGCGACATTAAGTAAAGCTTCTCCTTGGAGGGTGGCAAAACAAATTGATAACCCTCAAGGACTTCCAGTAAAAGGATTAAATCATCTGCAATGTGACGATCATGACTAACGGTACCAGATAACCTTCAAGGACGGCCAGTAAGAGGTTAGCTCATCTAAGACATGAGAAACGTGACCACCGTGAAGAGAAACTATAATCCTATCTGTATAAAACCTTCAGCCAGTCTCCAGTTCTGGGAGACAGGTCTTTTGGAAGAGCTCATCCCCTCTGTCTCCTGTATATCGATATACAATAAAACCCTCTTGCTGCTCACCTCACCCCTGTCTCAGACAGCAGGTGGCTCAGATCTGCGTTTTGCGGTAACATGGTTACTAATGCCCAACTCTGTGTGTGCTCATGCCATGCCCAGTTCCTTGACTGCCATCTTCATGGTCATCATTTCCTGCAGGGTGGTTTAAATCTCGATTCATCTATGAAACCTTCCCTTACAAACAGTCTTAGTTATCTAGTACTGCTATAACAGAAATACCACAAGTGGATGGCTTAACAAAGAGAAATCTATTCTCTCACAGTCTGGTCGGCTAGAAGTCTGAATTCAGGGCACTAGCTCCAGGGGAAGGCTTTCTCTCTCTGTCAATTCTAGGGGCAGGTCCTTGACATCAATCTTTCCCTGGTCTAAGAGCTTCTCAGTGCAGGGACCCTGGGTCCAAAAGACTCGTTCTGCTCCTGGCTCTTCTTTCTTGGTGGTATGAGATCCCTCCTTCTCTGCTCAATTCTTTCTTTTATATCTCAAAAGAGATTGACCCAAGATACAACATACTCCTGTAGACTGAGTCCTGCCTCATTAATATAACTGATTCTGATCTATAGAGACCCTATAGGACAGAGTATAACTGCCCTATAGGGTTTCCAAGGAGCAGCTGGTGGATTCAAACTGCCAGCCTTTTGGTTAGCAGCCTTAGCTCTTAACCACTGCACCACCAGGGCTCCCGTTAACATCACAGAGGTTAGGTACAACACATAGGATAATCACATCAGATCACAAACTGGTGGACAACCCTACAATACTGGGAATCATGGCCTAGCCAAGTTGACACACGCAATTCAATCCACGACACAAACCTCTGTCTAATCCATTTCTCACATTCATAAATGCTATTCCAAAAAGACTTTGTAAATGATTCTGCTTTAATAATACTGCCAACATTTACCAATAAATTATTATAGGTAAGACACAGCACTGGAAATTAAAATGCAGTATTCCATTTTAGCCTCATAATACTTTGTGCTAGGATTATTATCATCCTCATTTGAAGATCAACAATGTACAGAAAAGATAAATAATGTGTCCAAAACCAAACCGAGAGTAACTAGCAGAGCTAGGTCTGAATTCATGTCTTTTTGACTCCAGAACATGAGACTGACCTTTTAACCATTCTGCTATGTTACTTCACATTTTATGTTCCTTTATATATTCTTTCAGATATCTCCTCGTTAAACTGTTATGTGCTTCAACATCAGGTACCTTGTCAGTTATGTGACTCTCCCCAGTATCAATGACAGCCTTTTAGCTAAGTCTGAAATCTGAGCCTCAGTGGTACAGTGGTTAAGCACTCAGCTGCTAACCGAAAGGTCAGCAGTTTGAACCCACCAGCAGCTCCACAGGAGAAAGGTGTGACAATCTGCTTCCATGAACATGACAGCCTTGGAAACCCTATGGGACAGTTTTGCTCTGTCCTGTAGGATCGCCATGAGTTGGCATCAACTCAACGGTGCACAACGATAACAAGCCTGAAATAAACATTTGTCATCAATTTCATTCAGTATACTCAACTGGCATTACCTTCTGCATATTTCTGTGTATTATATTTATATATATAGTTATGATATCTGCCATTTACAATTTGCCTAACATAGTAACTACTTATTATCAGGAAAACCAAATGCTGAAAATTTACCCCTTCAATGCCAAACAATTACAAAATATCAACAGTTCTAATAGAAATGTCCATCAATACATCATATTCTCTCCTGCCTTCTTATACATGATTTAACCTTTTCTTGAGTTCTAGAACAATCTTTCTGTGCATGTGTATTTTATCAGTAATAGCGTTCTGCAGGTAATTTGTAATTTTTCTGTTTTCTGGCTCACCATTCTGATACACCAACTGTCCCTTTCTGCTGACTATAGTGTACCCTCTTTCTCCTGCCTTCAAATTTCTTCTTATTCCTTTCTGGTTTGCTATGAATGTGTTGAGAGATGGGAAAACATTGTCAATAATTTTAAAAATTAAATATTAAATAAGAGCCAGTATACGCTGAATGACTAACTCTAGTGCAGTGGATTTTATGACAGCTACCTTATAACTGAAGCTGCCAGAAAAGTGACATTTGGATCAATAAGACACTACTGGACCTGCATGGAGTACCTGTTTTAGAAGTTTCCTGAGGAACTGAGCTTCATCAAACTTAGATTCCTAGCAGTCTCAGTGGTTGCCCCAACACTGTATGTGTGTGTGTGTTTGTGTGTGTGTGCGTGTGTATTTTATACATTTGAGAGCAGATGTACTTACTTCATGGCTGTGCATGAGCACATAAAGGGAAGCCTGGGGTCTCCTGTGTCACTTTAAAAGGGCATGATTGTTGGGGAAGCAAAAAAGACTTGAGGTGAGAGAAAAGCAGCCTTTAAAAGTCACTTACATGGTGTGTGTGCAGGTACTGGGTCTCTTCATGATTTTCCTTCTCTGCAGGTGCTGTAGGATTCTGGTAGGAGGGACTTCAGGATACGGTGGGGCCCCTGCCAGTATGGAAAGAATGAGTATCAAGAGAACTTTAGGGTCCTTTAGAATGTGAACTATAACTTAGCACTACTCTCCAGCCACCCTGAGTAACTGCCTGCAAAAGATACAGCCATGGGAAATATACTAGATATAATGTGGATGCTACCTGGTGACTGAATAAGGATATGGTTTAGAGAATTTCAAAAAAAGATGTCTGGTGGTGGGAGGGAGGGAAGAACGATAAGGGAGGGGAATTCTGAGTCTTTGGGAAAATAACAAAATAAGGCAAAGGGAGAAGGAAGGGCTGCCCTCCACACCCCAAAAGTGGGAAGGCACTGCAGTTTCTCAGTCCAGTGGATTATTTCATCTGAAAACATTTTTATGTACCAAGCCTGAGCATCCTTTTGGTGCAAGATCACTCTGGGGTTTATCTTTTGGATTTGAAAGCATCACTTGAAAGTTTTGGGGGAAAGAAAGTGGAAGAGAAAAAAAAAAGTAAGGGGAGGAGACAGAGATGGGGAGCAGGTTAGGAAGGGAATCGTTACTTTTTAAGACTTATCTCAGGAATCGGGCTTGGATTTGACATCAGCCCAGTTGAAACTTCAGGGCTTGTACTGAAGGCGCTTCTCAAAGCATACACCATCCAAAACCCAAATAAATGTACTTGTGTATTTGCATACAGGTACACACTACTTTGGAGCCCTCTTGGCATGGTGGTTAAGCACTCGGCTACTAACCAAAATATTGGTGGTTTGAACCCACCAGCCGCTCTGTAGGAGAAGGATGTGGCAGTCTGCTTCCCTAAAAGATTTACAGCCTAGGAAACCCTATGGGGCAGCTCTACTCTGCCCTATCGGGTCGCTATGAGTCGGAAAGGACTCTATGGCAATAGGTTTTGGTTTTGGACACACTACTTTGGGGATCATCCTTACCTAAAGTCACCATCTCATAGAGGAGGATCCCAAAGGACCAGCTGTGAAAGAAACAAACCAATTTGCTTTAAAAAAAAAAAAAAAATTGCCCTTGTTAAAGAGAACTCACTTAAATATCAGAAGCCTTCACTAAGAACCCCATAAAGAAGGCAATGAAGGAGAATTGAGGATGGATGTTAGATAAAATACACAAAGTAATCGGCCCATTAGAAAGCATTTCTGTCCAATCCCCTCAGAGTATACTCTCTCTGAGGACAGGGTCTATGTCTCCTTTCTGCTATATCTCACATTAATAGATGTTTACTATTATTTGCTGAATTGTGTATGTGTGCGCACACGTAAAAACACATTCACCCAGGTATAAAGAAATTCCCTTCTGCGTCTTTCTCAGCCCTTCCATTCCCCACTGCTAAATTTCTCTGAAAACTAAGTTGAATGTTTTAAGAATATTCTACAAAAATATCCTGCTAAAAAGAAAGTGCTGTCAAATTGACCATGTGTGAGACTACTGTAGAAAATTTGGAAAAATAACAATAAAAGTCTGTAGTCAAATGCTTCACAGTTGTTCTCAAGTCTCTCAGTCTAGTTAGAATCATCCCAAACTGAAACTAAAAAATAATTCATTATGGATGCAATTTACACGAGAAACACAACATATAACTGTTTTGCAGGCCTGTACTCATAGAAAAGGCCTTGGGCCTTCTTTCAAAAGATTGATTGATAAATGCACATTTGTATATTCCAAGTAAAAATAAAATATGTGAGGTGTGTATATTTATTTTTCTTTTAATAATTTCTGGTTTAACCGACTTTTTGATTAAGTGGACCTACCTCTTCAAACAAGAAGACATCTACTGGATTAAATTTTCACATATTGGTGATATTTTCTTTCTTTCTTTTTTTTTAATTCCTATTGTTATGGATTGAATTGTGCCCCCCTCCCAAAAAAAATATATGTGCTGGAATCCTAACCCATATACCTAAGGATGTAATTCTGTTTGGGAACGGGTTTTCTTTGTTATGTTAATTATGTCATACCAGTGTAAGGTGGGTTCTAAACCTAATCACTTCTGAGTTGTAAGGAGCAGCATAGCCAGAGACACAAGCAAGCACAAATGGGGGAAGGTAGATGCCATGTGAAGATGGCCAAAGAACCGAGGAATGCTGGGGCTACAGGAGCTGAGACAAGGACCTTCCCTGGAACTGACAAAAAGAGAGCCTTCCCCTATAGCCAGTGTCCTGAATTTGGACTTCCAGCCTCCTAAACTGTGAAAAAATTAATTTCTGTTCTTTAAAGCCACCCACTTGTGGTATTTCTGTTACAGCAGCAACTAAGAAACTAAGACAACTATTTAAGGCTGCTAATCTAACATAGAAGGAATACTTGAGAAGGCATTTTAAAAAAATTACAGCCAGATACTGAATATCAATTCCATCGCACGGTATTTCGGCTTCAGAGTATGTCTGACTTCTACATAAAGATTTCACTTGTAGGTATAACTGGCAATAAACCCAATCATGTTTATCAACCAGAGGACACTCAGGTCATGCGGCCAGAAATCCAACGTGCAGGAGCAAATCGTACATATCTCCTCTGATGCTAGCAGGTCTCAGGAGAAGCCGTTCTGGGGCAAGCCACTTGAGAGGTACGGTATGAGCAGAGGAGATGGCCCCTCGGGCATGGACTTCATAGGCCAGGCCCAGGCCACAGAGCTTGGCAGTGAGATCACCCTGGATCAGAATATTCCTGGCTGCCACATCCCCGTGGAATAGTTGTTTATCCTGGAGGAATTCCTGTCAAGATAAGATCAATTATAGAGCAGCTGTCTGAGGTCATGGCTTGGGTCCAAGGCAAGGAAAGCCAGTTCTAGGAATCCTGAAAAAGATAAGGGCACTTCCTACTCTGAACAAGTCTCCTTAATGACATATCACTTCCAAAACATTCATGCTAATGAACCAGACATATTTGCATTGGTTAGGATTACCAGTTGAGGAAATAATCCAAGTCACATTAATATTGAGTTTGGAAGTATAATCACCCACTCTATCAAGCACTGACCTTGCTTGATTTCACATTCCTCTCAGTTAGAGAGGATCCACCTAGACATTGGAAAAGAGAATAGGTCCCAAGTTTCTAGCAATAGTCCCAAAAATGAGGTGATAGATAAACAGCAAAACTGAATGCCATAATCACGAATTCATACAGAGTTTTACATCAACTCATTCTGTTCCTGAAATCACTAGATAAGGTGAGTTAAGGAAGTATCTTTTAGAGAAATTGAGATGATTGCACAGATGACACAGTTATTGAGGGTGGTGACCAGAACAGCTATTCTAATTCACAGCAAGTGCTATCAACTCTACTAGTAATTCTCAAACTAGGCTGCAAGTCAGAGTCTTTTGACAGCTTTTAAAAAATGTAAGATTTTTACCCCAGATTTACTAAACCAAAATCTAGGAAGAGGGATCTGGTAATCTATATTTTTAAAAATTACCCAAAATGATTCTCATGCAGCCAACAAAGCATTTAGGAATGACTGCACCTGGATGGCACTGATTGACTGGTGTCCCTTCCCCTACATCAAGCTTTTTACAAGGCAGATGGAGAAGTCGAACACTGTACATGATTAAAACGCTGCAGCTTGGGGTCTATGATTACTAAACAAGTTTTATCTTGTTTGTTTTTGTTTTTTAAAAGGTAAAGGCGAAACACTGCTTTCCAGTTACCGACGATGGAGGAAACAGTGACTAGCAATTTTATTTCTCTGCGGATGTTTTCAAACAAAGGAATTGTACTTTAACGAGAAGAATCAATGAATGTACTGACTATGAGGTTGGTAAAAGTAAGAAAAGTAGTATGTTGTTACCTTGTAACAGGTAGCCTAGGGCCCTGATCGATGATCATAAACGTGATCAATGCATCCCTCTAGGGTACCTTGCAAGATAGTTTAGAATACAAGGTAGGCTGTATCCTGACACCCTAACTTTATAAAGGGAACACAGAAACTAGGCCCTCCAGCCACTATAAAGAATGTTCATTTATATGATGTGCTCCCTTCCTTGCCCCGTGGGAGCTTCAGCTAAAACTACTGTTGTTTGTTCACCTCACTACCTCTTTTCTTTTTTTTTTCCCTAGGCGTTTCCTGATTCCGTTTAGATTCTTGGTATATTTGACACCTCAAGATGGCAAGATCTATCACACACTTAAAGTAGTAGCTTCATAGAGGCCTGATTTTGTATAGAAAAAATGCTAATTTTAAAAACAATTATCTAAATAATTGCATAGAAATAGTCATCTGAGTTTCATGAGTAATTCTGGTAAAGGTTTTTTTTTTTTTTTCCTGTTAAACTCTGAGTTCTTTCTCTTACTTCTTTGTTTTAAATTAAAATAAAGGACTGATCTTACTTTTGCCCCTTCTCATTCCTTCCCTTCAACTTGTTACTTATTTTTTTTTTTTAAGGGTATGTATTTACTATCACACTCAATATCAAAGCAAGTCTCCAACCAAACATGCTCTAAACTAGTTTTTCTTGTTTTGTTTTTTTTTTTTCAGGTATAAAATTGTATACTTCCTTCTGTTTCTATAGCCTTTCATCCATTCGGTTTCTCTTCCCATATTTTGGCCCAAACTCCTTCCATATTTGCCCCTTCTACATCTATTCATATTAACACAATGGGCAAGTAGGGGTATCAGGTGGATGGACATACAGCTCTTGGCACTGGTTCTTGACCTTTAAAACTCAGAAAACTTTTAAAACCTTTACTGTTCCTTCTAAAAACTCTACATTGACTACTTTCTGCTTGGAATTACCAACTATGTACATTATCTAAATGATTTCATAAAGAAAGGACTAAAGATAATTTATCAGTGCTTGAGTTTCTGCCTGCTAACTTTTATTTAGTTTCCTTTATACTATCTTCCCCATTTGAGGATACAAATATGGGAAATATGGCACTGTATTACAGGCTACCAAGAAAATTCCCCACCATTTATTGGCATTTTCCCCAGCTTTACCAGAGCCGAAAGGACTTGCTTCCCAATGTGATATACTTGTTTTTCTGTGAGATCATAGAGAAGGCCATCCATGTTCATCACATCCTGAAGAGACAGAAAGAATTAAAAAAGCATTATATCAAAGTGACATTAACAGATTTTTTCCAAAAATAAATGAATAAAGACAGGGATACTCTGAAACGCAGATTTAAAAACTAAGACAAGAATGTAAAAACACAAGAACTAAAGTTCAGAGAGACCATGTCAGATACGGAAAGTACAATGATTCATTGGACTGGAAAAACTATAAAGAATGTGGATGAATAGCAGAAGGAGGGAAGAATAGAATAGTAGGTAAGGAAGACCAGTGTATATAAGACTTATCCACTTGATAAAGCAGTAATTTTTGCCTGTGTGTGTGTGTGTGTGTGTGTGTCTGACACAGAGAGAGAGATTAGCACATTAACTCAGCATGTCTTTCTTGAATGTCTATGCCAGTTCCTTAGAAGCTGGGAATACAAAAGCAAGCAAAACCAACATGGCTGCTGCCTTCTGGAGCTTATACTGTGGCAGACACGTGTGACTCAGAATCAAATGATCCTATATAAATATATGGTGTCATGAAGGTGCATGTAAGAGTAATAGGACAGTATATGATGGTGGGGGAGGAGAGCTTATTAGGTTATGAAAAACAGAGAAAGCTTTTGATGGGCTCTCAAGGATGAGTAGGCACTAACTATGCAAAGAAAACAAGAGAGAGAAATTTGGTATAATGGGAAGAGCTCGCGAAAATGATCTGAAATAGATAAGTGTGGTAGTTTTGAGAAAATGAAAGAAGCTAGTGTGTTTGGAGCATGGAACAAGTTAGATATAGATAACCTCTTGAAAAGGTTTAAAATGCCTAAAGACTTGCATACTCTCCTATTTACATCACTGGATGGGAAATATTAACAGGGCCCCTTTTTCATGCATATTCAGTAGTACAAGGCTCAGCATGCTGAGGAGGCTTAATTAATATTAACCTGGCCAGTGAGCAAGTGTGAAGCTAGCTAGGAAAACAGGTAACACTACAGAAAGAGGAACGTGTAGAGAACTAGGGAAATTATAAACAAAAGGACTTGCACTTGAGCCGGATAATTTCTGTTAGATTTTAAGTTTTAAAAATATGAGTTTGATGCGGAAAAACTTACAAGTTTAATTAGCTCTGTTATACAAGGATTATGTTACAGACAGGAAGTTACGCTAATGATAACGGCAACAACAAAATCACCGTCATTGTTAACAGTTATGCTGTTGTGTTATCATACAGCAGCTACAATTTTATGAGCTCTTGTTATGTACCAATCCAAACCCAAGTCCATTGTCATCAAGTCGATTCTGACTGACAGCAACCCTAGAGGACAGAATACAACTGCCCCATAGGGTTTCCAAGGAGCACCTGGTGGCTTTGAACTGCCAACCTGTTGGTTAGCAGCCATAGCTCTTAATCACTGCGCCACCAGGGTTTCCATGTACCAATCATTACTGTGTTTTTACATACATAACTTCTTTTAATGTTTAATAACTTATTATTACTATTATGATACAGATTCAGAAAACTCAGGCTCAGAGAGGTGACTAGCCAAAGTCTCACAGCTAGTAGATGAACCGAAAGTCCATGCTATAAACCTGTGCTGTCCAATACAGCAGCCATTACCACAAATGGTTATTTAAACTTAGATTATTTAAACTTAAATAAAATTTAAAATTCAGTTTCTCAGCCACACTAGCCATATTTCAAGTGGTCAATAGCCACCTGTGGCTAGTGGCTACCATATTGGACAGAGCAGATATAGAACCTTTCTATTATCCCAAAAGTTATATTGAACAGTGCTGCTCACACTCACTCCGTTATGCTAATAATGTCTCTAAAATGTGTCATTTGCCAGGCTAATGGACATGTTAACAGTTAATCAGCCAAGTCAAGCCTTTCCCTCCTAACACCTCTAGCCTACTGCTCACCCGGCGACAGGTCCAGAGAAAGCTGAGCAGGTCTCCCTGGGCCACATCTTCCAACACCATGTAGAGCGGCAGCCCTTCTGTGCAGCAACCTTCCAGCTGCACCAGGTTCTTGTGCTTCCCCAGATACTGACGGAATTGGATTTGCCCTAAGAAATCCTGTACCTCACGGAGCCCAGCTGGTTCTATGGAGGACAGGAGAGCCAGGGGCAGTGAGTAGTCAGAGCACCACCAATAAATGGGAGGCACAGAGCAGGAAGCAACGTCAGATGGGAATTCTCAAGGCTTCACAAGGGGATGAGTGTAGACAAAAAAGTTAATAGAAAGGGGACCAATTATAAGAAGGTGATATCCCAAATGTCACCAGTCCTTTGTCAAAGATAGCACAGAATCATAGATCTTAGAACTGGAGAGACTTTATCTGCCTAAGGAGAGAAGTGTTATGTTGACATTAAAATAATATCCCTGTCTAGGTCTTTTGATTAATATCCTTGTTTATACTTATCCTTGTTCTTTTTTATGTATCCACTAATACTGATCCATATCATGAGAATCAGCAAAAAATAAGAAATACAGTATCAGGGAAAGGTATTAAATAATGAAGAAAAATAAACTCAGAATTCTAGTCCAAGTAACATCCAATATGGAGAACTCAATTCCAACATCAAATATCACCTACTTTATGCCAGGCACTGTTCGAGGCATTAAGAATAAGCAAAGTTCATATTTTCATGAAGACTACTTTCTAGTAGTAGGGGAGAGAAAGCAGACACTAATATATCAGATGATGAACATTATGGAGAAAAATAACATGCAAGGATGAGCTAAGGGAAGAGAGCCCAAGAAGGACATTTCTGTCCCAAGTTTCCACCCTCTATCCCCTTCTTCTGTATGTAGTTGTGATTACAACTATATGTTGATGAACATCTTAATGTTTACAAAGCCTGTTAGCATTCACTGATAGAGGCTCAGGGTTGAAAAGTAAAAAGGAGAAGGGAAGTCTAGATCTTGTTATTTTACCTCTTAGAGCCTTGACTACAACACTCTTGGACTTCCTGGGGTCCCCAGAGTGCATCTTGGCTCGATAGATGGCTCCACAATTACCATTGTGGATCTGCTCCAGAACATCAGAGAGTTGCTCCCGGGGCACCTGCAACTTAGCTAAGGCAGGTGTGGTGGCTCGTAGAAGGCTTTCCACCGATGTCTCAAGTGGCAAGAACACATTTCCTCCAAGTCCTGCTGCTTTACAGCTGAGGTCCCTAGATGGAGGCGTGGGGCTTATGCCTAGAACAAACAGATAATACCAACCAGCTTCTCCCTGTCCTTGGGACTTCAGGAAAGTAGAGCCTGGAACAATCTGGCAAGGAAGTTCCTTCAGCAATTTCCTCTCTGGCCAATATAGGAATGTCTTTCCATGTCTCTCTATGAACCAACATCAATACCAACCTTGTCAAAACTCCATTACTTCTAGGACAACTCAAGATGGGCCCCTGGAAAGTGGTAATGACCTTTTCTTTCTGTTTTCTTCAGGATTACCATTCCATATTCCCCGTGAGTGTAGTATGGAGACTTTTAAGGAAGTTCCTGAATAGGTATGATGCAAACCACGGGTACCTAAGGATGATGGTAACTACCAGTGGGTGCTATCATTTAAGTCAGCAAAATGGCTTCCAAAGATGGAAGGGAGTTATGGATAGCTAGTCAACTCTCAACTCTGGCTGTTCTTGCTCACTCAAGTTGTCTCAGAAGCAAACTATTCTATATTTCCCAGGGTCATGGTCAACAAAGTCTTTTGGTACTTTCCCCCTTTTTAGCCAGAATGGATTTTTCTTCAGCCAGGAAAGAGAGATTCATTCTTATTATTAAATCCCTGTTCATACATTCATTCACTTATTCAACAAATATCACGTACTATACATGCCCGGCATTGCTCTAGGTAGTGGGAATAGGCAAAGTCCAGATTCTCATGAAGATTCCTTTCTAGTGGTAGGAGAGAGGAAGCAGATAATAATATATTAGGCAATGAGTGTTATGGTGGAAAATAACACAGGAAAAGGGGGATAAGAAATGTCAATGATGCTATTTTATATTTGAAGGTCAAGGAAGGCCACTCTGATGACATTCATGCTGGTATCAGGAAGAGTGTTATGCACAAAGGCAACAAGAAGCACAAAGGCACTGAGAACCGAGTGATACACTTGGTACATTTGAGGAAGAGCAAGGAAGCCAGTGCAAGAGCCTGTTCTCCTGTCCAGCCCCAAACTTGGAGCTTTACCTTGGAGTCCAGAAGTCTGTTGTTGGGATCTTTGTCCTCTGATAAAAAGCCACAGGATGACCCCAAGAAGGATGAGGAAGGCCCCAACCAGGAGGGTCGGGACAATGATAACCGCATACTGTTCCCCCTGGACAACTAGGGAAACAAGAAGAGAAGAGCGTGAAGAAGGCAGACCTGATATTCACACAGTTTACCCTACTCTTCTTCTCCTCTGCTTCCATTCAATGGAACCATTATTGGGAGCAACTCTATAATGTCCCTGTGTCTTAGCCCATCATGTGTGCCCTATACCTCCCCTGTAATTTGTCCTACTGAGATAGAAGATTCAGCCTCTGAATCTCTGATTGTCACTTGCTACCCTTTTCAAAGACAATGGCCTCTAGACCCCATTCCTCTATAACTGCTATCTTAATTTCTACGAGAAATCATATAATCCTCCTTCCAGAATCTATCAAGACAGTAGTTTAGTCTCTATAATCTTAAGATCATAGGATAGACATTTGTAGTATCTGTACTTACCACACAACTTGTCACTGAGACTGCATTCCAGTAGCATCCGTGCCATCCCTCTCTCATCTCCCGCTGCCACAGGGCTGCCCTATTTCTGTGCTAGACCCACAGAGAATACACAGGGCACAGCTGTGAGTAATTCCCAAGGATTGAGTGATCCTGGAAAAATTAAAGTGGAACACACATAGCATTTTTAAATGCCTCTACAGTCCAATCATTAAGTAGATGGCTACCTAGAACTCTGAACCATTCATTCATCTCTATCCATCTACCTGATATTTAGTCTGGGAGAATTTTTTTTCCCTGGCATTTACTCTTCTCCACTATACAGAAAGTAGGGCCGTCAGGTGGTCTTATCCTTTCATTCCATTGTTAGAAAAATTATTGTAAAGCCAGTATCCACCCCCTCAACACACACACACAGGACCCCTACTCCCATACTGAAGTACATATTTTTCAACTGCCTAAGCAATTGTGGTCCCATAGTTTATATGGGCAAGCTCTACCTCCACTATAGTCACTTAGCATTTTTGTTAGCTGTGTATCACTTGTCTGTTAAACATTTAATTTTCATTTTTCTACAAAGTTAATGCAGACAATGAATAAACAGTTGGCAGATTTCAAGAGAGATGGGTTATGCATTTGCTTTCTTCCTGTGAAGCACCTGCCCTCTGTACCCTCACAACCAGTGAACAGGCAGCATATATAATAAAAACTACTTAATTCTATAGTTCTCAGAGTTTGAGGAGCTTCCCCTGCAAACCATACATGGACACAGACGCGTTCTTACTAGAATACAGATTAAAGGGAGTGTTAGTACCAAACTATCTTCTTTGTCTCTTTTAGGTAAAGAGGAAATATATTCACAAGGTTCCTATAATGGTGTACCGTAAAAATCTTTTTCCCATCACATCCTCTATCTATGCAGTTTCCAATTTTCCACAAAGTAGATTGTAATTACTAGTTTCTTATGTATCTGGCCAGGGATTTTTTATGTGCATAGCATTTAAGTCTATACATATAATTAGCAAAATATTTAAGATGTCACCTACAGAAACTTGGTCCTTTGTTTTTGAAGAAAACTGGTGGTTATTTTTCTTCCATATACCTGCAAACTTGATATTTTACCCTTGCTTGACAAAACTCTCCCCTGGTTCTGTGATCAGCAGAGCTTACTTCTTTAATTCTGATTGATCTGAAACAAAATATGGTGATTTTCTGCTGTCTAGGTAATCATAAACATGTGAATCGGTTACATAGTGATTTGATATAAAGGTAAAACAAATATAAATATTGTACCTTCTATGATATTATAGTGTATTGTACTATTAATTATTGATACTGTTGTTGTTGTTGTCAGGTGTCGTCAAGTCTGTTCTGACTCATGGTGACCCTATGTACAACAGAATGCAACACTGCCTGGTTCTGTGCCATCCTCACAATCATTGTTATGCTTGAACCCACTATTGCAGCCACTGTGTCAGTCCATCTCATTGAAGCTCTTCCTCTTTTTCGCTGACCCCCTACTTTACCAAGCATGATGTCCTTCTCCAGAGACTGATCCCTCTGGATAACATGTCCAAAGTATGTGAGACAAAGTCTCGCCATCCTTCCTACTAATGAGCATTCTGGCTGTACTTCTTCCAAGACAGATTTGTTCATTCTTCTGGCAGTCCATGGTATATTCAATATTCTTCTCCAACACCATAACTCAAAGGCATCAATTCTTCTTCGGTCTTCCTCGTTCATTGTCCAGCTTCCACACGCACATGAAGCAATTGAAAATACCATGGCTTGAGTCGGGTGCACCTTAGTCCTCAAAGTAACATCTTTTCTTTTTAACACTTTAAGAAGGTCTTTTGCAGCACATTTGCCCAAAGCCATGTGGCCTTTGATTTCTTGACTGCTGCTTCCATGGGTGTTGATTGTGGTTCTAAGTAAAATGAAATCCTTGGCAACTTCAATCTTTTCTCCATTTATTGTGATGATTATTGGTCCAGTTGTGAGGATTTTTGTTTTCTTTATGTTGAGGTGTAATCCATACTGAAGGCTGGTTTGATCTTCATCAGTAAGTGCTTCAAGTCCTTTTCACTTTCAGCAAGCCAGGTTGTGTCAACTGCATAACACAAGTTGTTACTGAGTCTTCCTCCAATCCTGATGCTGTGTTCTTCATATAGTCCAGCTTCTCAGACTATTTGCTCAGCATACAGATTGAATAAGTATGGTGAAAGATATAATCCTGGCACACACTTTTCCTGACTTTAAACCATGCAGTATCCCCTTGTCCTGTTCAAACAACTGCTTCTTGATCTATGTACGGGTTCCTCATGAGTACAGTTAAGTGTTCTGGATAACTTTTCAATGTTATCCATAATTTGTTATGCGCTTCCAAACTAAGAAAGACTAGGAAGAAGGACCTGGCAGTCTACTTCTGAAAAAATTAGCCAGTGAAATGTTATGAATAGCAGCAGAACATTGTCTGATATAGTGCCAGAAGATGAGCCCCTCAGGTTGGAAGGCACTCAAAAGATGACTGGAGAAGAGCTGCCTCCTCAAAGTAGATTCGACCTTAATGACATGGATGGAGTCAGGCTTTCGGGACCTTCATTTGCTGAGGTGGCAGGACTCAAAATGAGAGGAAACAGCTGCAAACATCCATTAATAGTTGGACTCTAGAATGTACAAAGTATGACTCTAGGAAAATTGGAAATCATCAAAAATGAAATGGAACACATAAACCTTGATATCCCAGGCATTAGTGAGCTGAAATGGACTGGTATTGGCCATTTTGAATTAGACAATCATATGGTCTACTATGCCAGGAATCACAATTTGAAGAGGAATGGCATTACATTCATCGTCAAAAAGAACATTTCAAGATCTACCCTGAAGAACAACACTGTCGGTGATAGGATAATATCCATATGCCTACAAGGAAGACCGATTAATAGGATTACTATTCAAATTTACGCACCAACCACCAAGGCCAAAGATGAAGAAATTGAAGATTTTTTACCAACTTTTGCAGTCTGAAATTAATCGAACATGCCATCGGGATGCATTGATAATTAGTGGTGATTGGAATGCAAAAGTTGGAAATAAAAAAGAAGAATTGGTAGTTGGAAAATATGGCCTTGGTGATAGAAAGGATGCTGGAGATCACATGATAGAATTTTGCAAGACCAACGACCTCTTCATTGAAAATACCTTTTTCCAACAACATAAATGGCAACTATACACATTGACCTCGCTAGATGGAATACACAGGAATCAAATTATTGATACTGGTAATCAATAATTATTAATACTAAAAGCCACAATGTTACTTATTGAGGCAGAGTCTCTCAGTGCCTTAAACAGGTAAAGAAACCCTGCAGCTTCAGCCTCACCCCTTTTTCCTCCCTTCCTGGAGCTTCATGATCTTGTTCTTGGGGATGATAGTTAAAAATATAATTCCTTTACAATTCAAAAGAGAGACTAGTGTGTGGTTCATTGACAGAAGCCCAAGTAAACGGAGGAGCTGCCTGGAGAAGAGAAGGAAATTCTCATCTGTAGGTTTGTACACAGCAAAGGATTAAGTCAATGAATAGTTAGATAGCAAAGTCCATCTCCTCTAAGTTTGTAAGCCAAGAAGGCAAGGAGAAAGGTAGTTGAGAATTTTTCCACAATTCTATGAAGGAACAGAGAGAAATATTACATGCATGAAAGGGAAGATACCAGCAATTAAGAAACGAGGAGCTATGAGTGGGTGAAGCAAAGGAGGTCTTGAAAACAAAACATCAGCTCAGCTAGAATTCAGAAGCTATTTGAAAATTTCTCCCACCATTCTCATTCTTCTCTCTTCTTGCTTCCCTTCAGTGCATTATCAGATATAATTATTTTCATTCTGGGAGCAACCAGTTTAGCAAGTTCGGCGCTCTGAGGAGTAGGTTCTATAAGCATAATCTCTCTAAACATAAAACAATTGGAGGAAAGGGTCAGTAAGCAGCCAGCTCAGACTTGTGAGCTCTGCCCAGAAACCAAACTATGCATCCACTAAAACATACTGACCAAAACAAACCTCTTACTGTTGAGTCGATTCAGACTCATAGCGACCCTATAGGACAGAGTAGAACTGCCACATAGGGTTTCCAAGGCTGTATCTCTTTACAGAAGCAGACTGCCACATCTTTCTCCCATGGAGCCGCTGGGGGTTTGAAATGCCGACCTTTCAGTTAGCAGCTTAGCGCCTTAACCACTGCACCACCAGGGCTCCTAAAACATACTGAAGGAAGTAATTTAAAGTTGGTGTGTACGTGTATCCCTGCTTAGAACTGCTCATGATGGGCCACACTCAGTTATAGGCACACAGCCAAACACACCTACACCCAATGACTCAAACCCATGGCAGTACCCTTGTACCTAGATGTCAGATTTCGTTACTTACAGAGAACCACCCTAGGATACAGTATGACCTTCTATTGCATTTCCTGAGCCAAGTTCTCACTCTCCATTGTATTTGTGCATGGGCAGTTTGAAGAAGCTAGCTTATGCACACCTAGCAGCCCGGTGAAGTTGGAGCAAGGAAACAAATGTGTAGAGGGATGAGGACCACTCAGTCAAATCACTTTCCAGATGTCTATTCAATAAACTTTTTTCAATAATTTCAGTATTTCTAGAGGCATATGGGACAATCCAATGAGTCTACGATTTTCTTTTTTTTTATTGTACTTTAGATGAAGGTTTACAGAACAAATAGTTTCTCATTAAACAGTTAGTACATATATTGTTTTATGACAATGGTTAACAACCCCACGACATGTCAACACTGTCCCTTCTCAACCTCGGGTTCCCTATTACCAG